CTGTGCAGTGTTCTGGGTGATTTGTCAGATCAGTCTTCCATCTCACTAACTCCCTCTTGAACTGTGTCTAAACTGCTCTTTAAGCCAGCTACTGAATTTTTTATTAAATTGTTTCTGTTTTTCATTTCTACTTGGTTCTTTCTCAAATGTGCCTGTTCCTCCCAACCCCACACTCTCCTCTTTTTTTATTATATACTAGAGGCCCGGTGCATGAAATTCGTGCACTGGGGTGGGGGGTGTCCCACAGCCCAGCCTGCACCCTCTCCAATCTGGGACCCCTTGAGGGATGTCTGACTGCCCGTTTAGACAGTTTAAACGGGCAGTTCGACATCCCTCTCACAATTCAGGACTGCTGGCTCCCAGCCGCTCGCCTGCCTGCCTGATTGCCCCTAACTGCTTCTGCCTGCCAGCCTGATCACCCCCTAACCACTCCCCTGCCAGCCTGATCGATGACTAACTGTTCCCCTGCCGGCCCGATCGCCCCCAACTGCCCTCCCCTGCCAGCCTGGTCGCCCCTAACTGCCCTCCCATGCAGGCCCGGTCACCCCCAACTGCCCTCCCGTGCTGGTCTGGTCACCCCTAACTGCCCTCCCCTGCAGGCCATCTTGTGGCCACATGGGGGTGGCCATCTTGTGTGTTGGAGTGATGGTCAATTTGCATGCTGGTTGTGACTAATTAGCATATCAGGGCTAATTAGCATATCCCTCTCTTATTATTGTGTTGGAATGATGGTCAATTTGCATACTGGTCATGACTAATTAGCATATCCGGTCATGACTGTGAGGGTGTCATGACCAATTTGCATATTACCCTTTTATTAGTATAGACTAGGAGCCCAGTGCATGAATTCGTGCACCTTGAAAGGAACTGTGGGCCGCAAGGCTGCAGTGGGCACAGGGGTGGGTCTCGGCCCATCCTCCACACCCCCACCTGGTCCCTCCCACCACGGCCCCCACACCCCCTGCCTGCCAGCAGCCCTGCTCCCACTGCTGCTGCTCCCATGCACTGATGGCACCGGGCCCGCTCGCACCCACTGACAGTGTGGAGCAATTGGGGCCGGCGCCACTGGGTGTGAGCAGGGCCGGTGCCATCAGCTGGTGTCAGCAGTGGATGCTGCCCTGATCGCCCCTCGGGAGCAGGGAGGGGGTAGAGAAGCCCTTAGGGGTGATCGGGGCTGGTAGCTGCCGTTCGCACCCACTGATGGCACTGAGCAATTGGGACTGGTGCTGGGCGCTGGCAGTGGGTGCGAGCAGTGGCTCCAGCAGCGGGTGCAAGCGGGGCCAGTGCCGGCAGCAGGTGTGAGCGCTGGGCACAACTGTGGCGCATGGGAGCAAAGAATTTTTAGTAACCACCAGAGGCTTGCAGCGATGACAGCAACCAGTGCCCCACCTTGGTCTGGCGCCCCCACTCACCTGCTCCACCATTCCGCCGTGGCTGACATTCGCCATGTTCTGCAAGAGCCCCCTGGTAGTCAGCGCACGTCATAATGACTGGTTATTCGGTTGTTCCGCCGTTCGGTCTATTTGCATATTAGGGTTTTCTATAAATACTAGAGGCCCGGTGCACAAAAATTTGTGCACTTGGGGGGGGTCCCTCAGCCCGGCTTGTGCCCTCTCGCAGTCTGGGACCCCTCAGGGGATGACTACCTGCTGGTTTAGGCCCGCTCCCTCGGGGATTGGGCCTAAGCTGGCAATCAGACATCCCTCTGGCAGCCCGGGAGCCCTCGGGGGATGTCCACTTGCCAGCCGGGAGCAGGCCTAAGCTGCAGTCAGACATCCTTAGCGCTGCTGAGGAGGCGGGAGAGGCTCCCACCACCACCGCTATGCTGGCAGCTGTCAGCCTGGCTTGTGGCTGAGCAGAGCTCCCCCTGTGGGAGCGGACTGACCACCAGGGGGCAGCTCCTGCATTGAGCGTCTGCCCTCTGGTGGTCAGTGTGTGTCATAGTGACCAGTCATTCCCAGTCGTTCTGCTGTTAGGGTCAATTTGCATATTACCCTTTTATTATATAGGATAGAGGCCTGGTGCATGGGTGGGGGCCAGCTGGTTTGCCCTGAAGGGTGTCCCGGATCAGGGTGAGGGTCCCGCTCGGGTGCCTGGCCAGCCTGGGTGAGGGGCTGATGGCTGTTTGCAGCTGGTCACACCCCCTTCAGGGTGGGGGTCCCCACTGGGTTGCCTGGCCAGTCTGGGTGAGGAGCTGAGGGCCGTTTTCAGGCTGGCCAAGCACCCTGGTGACGGAAGCTCCCAGCCTCTCCTTTTTTTCTTTTTTCTTTTTATTCTGAGATTTATTTACCTTCTATAATTGAAACTTTGTAGCCTTGAATGGAGCTCAGAGCTGGCCAGGGTGGGCGGGAAGCTTGGCTTCCTCCATTGCCAGGGGCAACCCAAGCCTCCTGCTCTCTCCAGCTCCGTGGCCATGGCCAGCTGAAAGCAGGTATCTGAGGTTTATTTATCTTCTATAATTGAAACTTTGTTGCCTTGAGTGGAGCTCAGAGCCGGCCACGGCAGGCGGGAAGCTTGGCTTCCTCCATCACTGGAGCAACCAAGCCTCCTGCTCGCTCCAGCTCCGTGGTTGCCGGCTGCCATCTTGGTTGGGTTAATTTGCATATAGTCTCTCTGATTGGCTGGTGGGCGTGGCTTAAGGTGTAGTGAAGGTATGGTCAATTTGCATGTTTGTCTTTTATTAGATTAGATAGATAGATATACTAGAGGCCGAGTGCATGAAATTTGTGCATGGGTTGGGTCCCCAGGCCTGGCCGGTGATCGGGGCTGATTGGGGCCTTCCGGCTGCCAGCCGGGGCCTTCCTTCCCCTGGCTGCCGGCTGCTGGCCAGGGCCTTCCTTTGTTTTGCGCTGCCCCCTGATGGTCAGTGCACGCCATAGCCGGCAGTCGAACTCCAGGTTGCTCAAACTCCCAAGGTGACACTTTGCATATTAACCTTTTATTATATAGAATATTTTTTAAATCCTCACCCAAGGATATTTTTCCATTGATTTTTTATTTTATTTTAAGAGAGAGTGGAAGGTGAGGAGGAGAGACAGAGAGAGAGAAACATCGATGTGAGAGAGACACATGGATTGGTTGCCTCTTGCATGCACCCCGACCAGGGCCGGGGATTAAGCAAACTGAGGTACATGCCCTTGACCAGGAATTGAACCCAGGATCCTTCAGTCCTCAGGCTGATGCTCTGTCCACTGAGCCAAACTGGCTAGGACATTATGATATCTTATTTTTTGGTCCTACTGATTCTAGGCATAATTATTTGGTAATCTATTTCCGGTTTTTCTAATATTTGTAATCTTGAGGTGCAAATTCTCATTTATTGTGTCTGCTAACTCTTCCTCTTCTTGATGGTTTGGAACCATGGATAGTTTGAAAATTTTTATTGCCTATTTATCTTCAGCAGGATTGTTTCATGAAATTTCATGCTTATTGGATTGTTACAGTCTCTTTAGAACAGCTTCTTTGTTTTGCTTGCTAGGATGCTGACATTGGAGTAAATCTGGACAGTGACCTTCCCAGTAGCTCAGTGGGGCTCCTGCACTTTGCAGGTGGTGTAAGTCTGGACTCTACAGTCATAGGTCATGCAGGCCTGTAGGTTTTTTTTTGTTGTTGTTGTTTTAAATCCTCACCTGAGGATATTTTTTTTCATTGCTTTTTCAGAGAGAGTGGAAGGGAAGTTGGGGGAAGGGAGAGATAGAGAGAAACATCAATGGAAGAGACATATCAACTGGTTGCCTCCACACGCACCCCATGAAGAGCGAACCTGAAACATAGGTCCGTGCCCTTGACCAGGAATTGAATCCATGACCCTATGGTGTGTGGACCGACGCTCTAACCACTGAGAAACACCAGCCAGGGAAGGCTTGTGGTTTTGATTTTTCAAGAGTGACTACCCCTCCTCCCACTCCCGTCATAACTGAAGGCCCCTTTCCACAACTGTTTTCCCCACATGAACTCATTTTCCCAACATCCTGATGGGGTGAGGGTGAGGTTTTATAGCCAGCCTCCATAGGACAACATGGATGCGTGGAGAGGTTAAGTCACTTACTCTGGTCACACAGCTGGTAAGTAGTAGTTGGGGGTTCGATCCAATTCAGTGCCCCTGGGCTCAGCCACCCTACTCCACTGGATGGAAGGAGGTGCCTGTTCTTAGCTGGGGATGAAGGAAAGCCTAGGCTTGAGGAGGAAGAGTCTGTGTGACTAGTGCTCATTGTTGGCTAGAGGCAGTCAGAGGAGCTTGCAGACATCCACGTGGGGGTCTGGTTGGGTGTTGCCAAGCCAGGGGTGTGGGTCCCTGGGCATTGAGTTATAGAGTGGATGAAGCTGTATGACAGGCACTTTTAAGACAAGACAAGACATGGGCATGCTTTCTGTCAGATTCTTGCTTACGAGCTCAAACTTGTTTTTCTTTTGACAATTTTAAACCTGTTTGCACAGAACTCCATGGCCGTTTTCATAGGTGAGCTTCTTTGGTCACTTGCTTCCGAGTTCCCTGGTAGAGGGGTGCCCCATCCGCAAGGAGAGGTGACTAGGGCATTGGACCAATGGCACTAGAAGGGCATTTTGTTTTCTTTATGACTCTGGTCTCATCACCTTCTCCTGGATGATGAGCCCGCCCTTTGTTTTAGATCAGTGGTTCTCAACCTTCTGGCCCTTTAAATACAGTTCCTCATGTTGTCACCCAACCATAAAATTATTTTCATTGCTACTTCATAACTGTAATGTTGCTACTGTTATGAATCGTAATGTAAATATCTGATATGCAGGATGGTCTTAGGCGACCCCTGTGAAAGGGTCGTTCGACCGCCAAAGGGGTCGCGACCCACAGGTTGAGAACCGCTGTTTTAGATGATGGTCAACTTTGCAGTCCTCAGAGGCTTCAGCTGGAGAGGGCTGTGGAAGTGCACAGCAGGCTGCAAGGCCATGCCTCTGCCCAGGTGTGACTTGTCACCGTCGATGCACACTTAGGAGTGTATTTTTCCCCTCTTCTCCTTCAGATGGATTTGAAGACTATGGCCCAGACTGTGACAGCATGAGGGTGACAGCCTTCTTGGACATCCCAGGCCAGGATAACCTGCCCCCCCTCACTCGCCTGGAGAAGTATGCTTTCAGCGATAACGTCTTCGACCGGTAAGCTCCACCTGTCCTTCGCATGTTCACACCCTTGTTGTGTCTGGTTTAGGCTGACACTGGTGGTCACTTCTCTGTAACAGTTTTGTGGGGACTCATGGATCAGGTGGCCTACGGGCTGTCTCCAGGATGCTGGGGTTCATTTATATTAGGCTTTTCCATTATTCTCATTATTGTTTTACTGACCACCTGGTAAGTCAGGAAGGGGGTGTGGGTGAAATTTCATGGTGTTTAGATAATGAGGATTGTAACTGGGCTTCTCTCCCATGTGCAGTACCGGGAGAGGGAGAGTGCATGGGTGACTGTGACACACCCCTTGGAGTCTTGCTGGCTCATCCTATTGACTGCACCGTGCTTCAGGGACTTTGCTGCAGCTTGCCCTGCCCCATCTGATGTCACCCCTTGTGGTGCTGACTGGAATCTACTCCAGGCTCAGATTATGCCTCCTACTCTCAGCAGATGACCTTGACTCTTGTTTCACAAAGAAAGCAGAAACTTAGGCATGTCTTTCGATTTCCGTTCTGCCCCAATTTGTATCTGAAAGCATCCTTCCCTCCTGTCTCAGAGAGTGTCTCTCTTCTTGTCCACTCCCTCCATCAGATGTGCCTCTGTCTGTATCTTCCTTCCCACCCATTACACACACCCTTTCCTTCCCCTTACAGACCATTGCATGTCTCTTGTTCTGGACTCCTCTCCCTGCTGCCTGCCTTCGTGCCTTCCCCCGAGGACACCATTCTGAATCTGTAAAGACTGGATGCCACTCAGAGTCTCTTTTCTTACCTTCCATTCACTCTAACTTTAAAAAATTATATTCTATGTCTTTACATCTATTAAATCATCACAGGCTCGCAGCAATTGCTACTGAATGAGTCCAGTTATTATCCCAATTTTGCAGATCGGAAAATGATGGTACTCTGAACAGCGTCTTTTGATGAGCAATTCTTAATTTAAATGTAGTTCACGATCTATCCATTTTTTCTTTTATGGTTAGTGCTTTTCATGTCATGTATAAGAAACATTTGCCTCCCCCAAGGCCACCAAGATATTTTCTTATATTGCTTTTTCGAAGTTTTATTTGTTTTACCTTCCACATTCGGATTGATGGTCCACCTGGAATTGCTTTCTGTGTTTGTGTATAATGCGAGGTAGCAGTCCAGTTTCATTTCCGTTCATGTGGTATCCAGTGGACCCAGCGCCATTTATTGAAAATGCTATCTGTTATCTGAGCTCTGCATTGCCACCTTTGTCTTAAAGGTGTCAGGTAGAGTAAGTCCTTCCCCCTTGTTCTACACGCGTCTGGACTGGGGTTCGAACCCACCACCCAGGCATGTGCCCTGACTGGGAATCAAACCCATGACCTTTCCGTGCACGGGACAATGCTCCAGCCAACTGAGCCACACTGGCCAGGGCTAAGAGATTATTTTTAGACTTTTAGAAATAATTTCACACAGAAAAGTTTCAAGAATAGAAACAATTATGGTATATCTTTTACTCAGATTCATCAATTGTTAACATTTTGCCTCATTTGATTTTTCATTCTCTCTTTAGTTTTACTTTTTTTTGAGAGTAAGTTGTAGATACCATGTTGCCTTTCCTCTAAATACTTCATTGTGCATTTTTCTAAGAACAAGGACATTCACCGTTCACTTGTATAATCACAGTACAATGATAAAAATGAAGAAATTTAACTTTGACCCAATACTATTGTCTAATATAAAGATTTCAATCAAAATTTTCCAGTTGTCCTAATAGTGTCCTTTATATCAGATTTAAAAAATATTTTTTTTATTGATTTCAGAGAGGAAGGGAGGCGAGTGATAGAAACATCAATGATGAGAGGGAATTATTGACCAACTGCCTCCTGAACACCCCCTACTGGGGATTGAGCCCACAACCCAGGCATGTGCCCTGACCAGGAATCGAGCCATGACCTTCAGGTTCATAGATCAACACTCAACCACTGAGCCACACTGGTTGGGATATATATATCAGATTTTTTGTTTGGGTTTTAGGTCCAAAATCCAATCCAGCTGATGCTCTATCCACTGAGCCAAGCCGGCTAGGGCTATAGTCTTTCTTTAATTTTCTGTAAAACTTCTGTTATTGTGAAATATGACACAGAGATATTGGATAAAATATGCATGTAAAGTGTAAGGCATTTTTATGAAGCAAGTACCTATGTAGCCTTTACTCAAGTCATCCTAGAAGTCTGCCCCCGATTCCTGACCATCACTTCCTCCTGCCCAGCAGTACCCCACCATCTGACTTTTATCTTCATCACATCTTTAATTTTCTTTCACTTTTAGCACCTAAATATATACCTTCAGATAATATAATTTTATTTTATTGTTTCTGAACTTGACATATATGAAATCCTGTAGGATATGTTACTTTGTGGTTTTGCATGTAGTTTGAGTTGCTTCTTTTACAACAGTGTTCTGACATTTTTCCATCTACTGTTGTTTTCTCACTATTATGAACAGTTTTGTGTCTAGGTGCACATAGTAGGCATTTCTGTATACCCAGGAGAGAACTACTGTGGGATGAGCACCCTAACCTACTTTAGTGACAGTGCCAGTTTTCCAAAGTGGGTGCATCAGCTTATAGTCCTACCTTTGTCCAACAATTTATCTGCCAGTTGGTAATGTCAGCTTTAAAATTTTCAGCCAATCTGGCAGTGTGGTTGTGTATATATAACAATATCGCTTTGTGATTTTAATTTACGTTTTTCTTACTTAGAAGTTTGAACACCTTTTCATATGTTTGTTGGACTTCTATATTTCTTTATCTATCTTTTTTGTGAAGTGCCTGTTTAAATTTTTTGTTGGGGGTGGGGAGATAGATTGTCTGTCTTTTTCCTGTTGATTTGTACAGATTCTTTGTGTATTCTAGATTTCAAACCTTTGTCAGTTCTGTATGGTAACCATCTACCCTCACCCTGTAGCTTGAGTTTCAGCTCTCCTTGTGGTGTCCTTTTAGTGACCAGAGCTATTCATTTCCACGTAGTTACATTTATCCACATTTTCCTTGATCCTTAGCACATTTTGAAGCTTTTAAAAAATGTCTTCCTCCACCCCAATACCTTAAACATATTCTTTTATATTGCTCTAAAGACTTTAGTTTTTATTCTTTCACATTTAGGCCTATAATCTATCTGATTTTAATTTTGGTTCAGTGTGTGAAAGTGGTGTCCAGCTTCATTTCTGTAATTGTCACAATACCACTTATCAAAAATGCATTCTTTTCCCAGTGTTCTAGGGTGCCTCCCCTGTTATAATCCAGTACCTGTTTATGACAGTCTTAGTCTGGACTGACTCCTCTTCTAGTGGTCTGTCTCTCCTCAGCCAACACCATACCATCTTGATTACTTTAGATTTGTAGTAAGTCTTGATATTTGATTGAGCAAGACTTCCCACCTTGTTTTTCTTCTTTGATGTGACTTGTTATTTTTTAAAAAACATTTTTTTATTGATTTTAGAGAGGGAGGAAGACAGAGGGGGAAAGAGAGAAACATCAGTTTGTGAGAGAAACATTGATAGGCTGCCTCCTGCATGCCCTTGCTGGGGATTGAGCCTGAAACCCAACCATGTGCCCTGACTGGTAATCGAACCGGTAACCATTCAGTGCATGGAATGAGCCAATTGAGCCACACTGGCCCGGGCATGACTTGTTATTCTCGAGCATTTCCATATGTTTCAAAATAGGCCCATCAGATCCTCATAAAACAAAACAAAACATCTACTAGGATTTTGATTGGGTTTGCATAGAACCTGTAGGTCAATTTGGAGACAGCTGCCCTCTTAACAATATTTAGACTTCCAATCCATAAACATGTTATATTTTTCTATTTATGTAGGTTATTTTAAAACCCTAATAAAATGTGACCATTTTCTCTGTAGAAGTTTTGTGCATTTATGCTGGTGTATTGTAAAGGAAATCAGAGACATTATATCATTCTATCCAGTTAGACTTAAACCTAATTGCAGTGTTATTATCACACTCAGCCAAATTAGCAGTAATGCCAGCTAGTCCACCAGTCCACGTTCAGTTTTCCCTGGCTGTCTCAAACTGTCTTTTTATGGTTGGTTGGTTTGTATCATGATCCAAATAAGGTCCGCACATTTCATTAGGTCGATGTGTCTCTGAAGTCAGTTTTTGTTTTTTTTTTTTACAGTTTTCTTTTGATCTTAAATCTCTTTAAATCTCTAATTGGTTATCCCTCTCATCTTCTTCCTACATCATTTATTTATTGAAGGGGTCATTAGTCTTGTAGAGTTTTCCACAATTTGGATTTGGTGGTCATTATTCTCACAGTGTAATTTAACATGTCCCTTTGTTTTCTGTAAACTGAAAATTACATTTGGAGACTTGATTAGATTCTGCTTCAAATCTTGTTTTTCTTTATTTATTTAATTTTTTAATTTATATTTTTTCCTTTTTATTGAATTTACTAGGGTGACACTGGTTAACACAATTATACAGTGGTCAGGTGCACAATTCTACAACATATCATCTGTACACTGTATCGTATGTTCATCACCCCAAGTCACGTCTATATCCATACCCTCCTCCACTTTCCTCAGCTCCCCTCCCCCCAGCAATCACACCTCTGTTGTCTGTGTCCATGGCTTTTTCTCTTTTTTTTCTTTTTGTGCTCAATCCCTCCACCGCCTCCACACTGCCTCCCCTGCCCTTCGACAGCTGTCTACCTCCTCTCTATGAGTCTGTCTCTATTTTGCTTGTTAGTTCATTTTGTTCGTTAGATTCCACATATGAGTGAAATCCTATGGTACTTGTCTTTCTCTGACTGGTTTATTTCACTTAGCATAATGCTCTTCATCAAATTTTGTTTTTAAATACTACTTCATATGTTGTTTTATGTACTTATTACAGAACATCAGGAAACAACGTCTGGCTGCCCCACTTTTAGAGATGTTACTATTGAGCTGTGGGCACAGGTGTTGGATGCTTTCATTGTAGAATTCCTCACCAACCTTCCT